CCAAGAGCTAGAGGTTGCTGTGAGCTGCGATGTCACAGCACTCTACCAAGGGTGACAAAGTAAGACTTTGTCTCTAAAAAAAAAGAAGAAAAGAAAATACTTACAATTAATTAATTATAGTGCTAACAATGCTATAGGGCCTATTCTTCCAGCCAGAATTGTGCCAGAAGTCCTAGACTTAGCACCATTGCCTCTGACTGCTGGCCTCCCGGGATGCCCATCTTGGAGATTGAACACCATTCCACTTGCCAGCCGAGCTCATCTTGGACACTGCACATGAGATTTCCAAGCATTCAGACCTATCTCTGCAGACAGCTGGCAGCTCCCAGCCAACCACTTGTTCTCATTTCCTCCAGCCTGCCCTGCATGGAAAACCCAACCTGAGTAACAGTGCGTTTGCTTATGTGAGAAAAGGCAGCCACACTGTGAGGAGGAGTTGGCCATTTCTTTCCTTTTCAAGTGTTATGGCTAAGATCATGCCCAGGGTCTGCAATCTCATGCTGGGCCTGGAGCATCTGTGAGTTACTGCTGTGATGCAGGTCTTAAGACAGTAGTCTGAGGAGCCCTTCCTTTGTGTCCCCAGGGTCACTGTGCAGACTCCCCTGCTAGCACTTCCTTGATCTCATTCAGCCTTCACACTATTTGGTAGAGAGACAGAGGCCCAGACTTCTCTCTGTTCTCTCATCCTGGGACGAGGAGACAGAGGGGTCCCTTCTGCAAAATCTCATCACCTCTCTTTTGTCCACTCAATCCTGGGAAGGGTAGAAAACACTCCTGAAGTTTCTATCTGGCTAACCCAGAAATCTCATTTTGCTTTTCAGTCTTCCAATTGTGTAAGCCATTCTTTGTATTAAATCCACTATCTTTGAAATACCTAGCATGCTTTCGGTTTTTTGAATTGGACCCTGATTGATACAAAAGTCAAAATAAATGTGTTTCGATCTCAAATGAACTTGACCTCTCTGTGTGAAACAGTTGTCATGTAAAAATGTTTTGGAGGTTAAGTGGATTCTTGTGGATTCTTGTAGCTCAGCTGATATTTTGCAATTTGACCTTAGGCCAACCACTGCCTTTCTGTGGGTCTCATTTACTTACCTGAAAAATGGAGTTGAATTCTATCCCCTCTAGAGCTCCTTCCACCTTATGTTCTATGATTCTGTGGTTTTATTAGTTTGATCTCATCCTAAATCTCTTGTGGACAGTCCACTGCATCTTTGAGTTTTCTCTTTGGTGGATTCCTACCTTTTAATCACATTAGACATTTCTTCTCCCTTACAGAAATTACTTTCCTTTCCCAGAGCAACCTTCCTGTAGCTTAATTCTAGGTAAGTCATTTCTTGGCTAGACTGGTTTTCCCAAGGAGAACTTACCAACCTGGACAAAATTACCCACCCCCCTAAAGCAGCTTAAGGATGGCCTTGCCTCATGTTCTGGCTCAATGAACTCCTCAACTGTCCTCCATCGCTTGGAGTTTTGTGCTAAACCACTTTCTCTGTTAGCGCAAAGCTGCACATTTTAGTTATTGAGGTGGGGAAGTCAATATTCTGTCTACACACTCTTCCTGACATGAAGCAATAATAACAATAATAAAAAGGATAGACTAAATGTGTAACAGATGCCCAAGTGCAACTTGAGGTGAATGATTGTGAATAAGGAACTGTCATCACCCACCTCACAGACATCCAGCTGGTATCCGAGACATACTTTATATGGAAATGTGGAACACATCCCCCACCAACCTTGAGCATTGAAATAAAAGAAATATTATAACTTAATGTTGGTGAAACCAACTTAGCCTTCCGATCCCAACACTCACACACCCATTTTAAGCACATATTCTTGCTAGAACTTGGTGCTCATCTATGCCAAATTGGTACAATTCTTACATTTTGGGAACAATTCTAGGATTTGGGGCTGGAAAGGCCAAAGCAGTTTGTTCTGGGGTCCTCACCAGTGAGCCATGTCCTGTAGTGAATTGACTGGGGCCTTCCACTGAAGCCACAGCAACTTCAATTCAGAGACTGAAATTATTGCCAAGAGGATAAAAAAGAAAAGGAGCACAACACAGCCTTGCATAATGTGGGTGATGTTTTCTATTTCCAGGCATCCTGTATTCACTCTTTCCACTGATTACTGACTCTGATTCCCAGGAAATAACCATGGGAAAATGAGGAGATTTTTTTGTTGTTCTTGTCCAATTTAGGTTTTTCAGATTGTATCTTTGTGAGCTCTGTGCATCATCCTGAGAAGAGATGGATGAGGAACTGTGTGTACCCACCCCCTGAGCTGCCTTAGCTTCCTCGTCTCCCAAACTGAGCACCAACACCACCACTGTCTTTTGGGGGAATCTTCAAGAGCCCCTCGACTTCTTTAACAACCTGTCAAGGACTGAGAAGACTGTTGAAAGGAGGAGATATTTGAGTTTAGGTGTCCAATACTAAGAGAACGTTCCCTCTTTAGAGCCACGATAAGGACCATGGCTCAGGTGAACATGTCTGCTGTCATTTTGGAGACAGACATACTAATTCTTTGGATTTTCATCCTCATCTTACAATTCATTTCATTTCAAACCTTTCAGTGACAGGCCTCCATTCCCCAATCTACCCAAGTCCGCCCACAAGACATTCAATTGGGAAACAGCTAAGAGTTCGTTGTTATCCAGTACCGTGAAAGGCACTAATGGCATCAGCAGCCCTTGTATAAATGAATGGACATTTGACGAATTGTCTCGTGGCCCATCAGGTGGGTCATAGAATTCCTCAGGAAGAAAGTGACACAGTGGCATTGTGCATTGGTTCCCAAGGGGCAAAAGTTGAGTTTTCTCCTAGACAAACTGGTTCTAGACACTATAGCTTTAACACACACGCTCTTTTTCATAATAAGTCCATGAAATAACTAAGTACCTACAACTCACACACCCATACGCACAAGAAAATAAGCTCTGAGTTGGAATTGCAAAGAATTCTTTATATAAATTTTATATAGAGAATGAATGAAAGAATTAATAGCTGATTTCTTTTCTCCAACTTCATTGACGCCTAACCCAAAGACTTCTCAGGAGCATATCTACAGTGATTCCATTATAAAAATTTCCAGCCAAAGATTTGAACTAGAGACCAAGAACTTGTACGTGACTATTGAAATTATTCAACTTATTTATTGATAAATGAGGACTATAATGATGAGGCGCAGCTGCACTGGAGGAGAGGAGCGTCTCCTGTATCCCTCGAGAGGCTGCTTGATGAGTCAAACATTCCCTGAAGTTGATGGGCTCCTTACACAGAGGTGGTCTATCCACCCAGGCCCCTCTCCTGTCACCACACACATGCAAAGTGGGAAGGAACAGGGAAATTCAGATCTGCGCCTGAAAATCTCAAAACCTCTTCTATGTTGTTGTTGTCAATGGCTTTATTCTCCATCAGTATCTGTTTTTAGGACCAAATTAACTTCGAGCTGGGTAAAGCCTATTGTGTTTTGTGAGTTTGATTGTTGCTCTGAACCCAGATCACCCCTGCAGCATGGGCACTGCATGGAAAATATCAACTATGAATCTGAAATCACTGAGTACAAGATGTACTGCAGAATAACTTCCTTTAGTAAAAGCAAAAGCATGGACAATGCTAGCAAGAAATGTGCAGCACCATTAATGAGGGCAAAGGTGAAGTGACATCGGTGTTTTCTAAACCCTCTTTGGCAGGAATCTAATAGACTTTCTGGAAAAAATTTTGATATTTATTTAAAAGAATCTCTCTCATGATATACATATACAACAATTTATTAATCCATTCATGGATGGATGGGCGCTTGGGCTTCTTCCATGACTTGGCTACTACGAATTGAGCTGCAGTGAATAATCTGGTGCAAATATCTTTTCTGCACAGTGAGTTTTGGTCTTTTGGAATACTATGCAGCCTTACAAAAAGATGGAGCCTTTACCTCTTTTATGTTTACATGGCGGGACCTGGAACATATTCTCCTGAGTGAAGTATCTCAAGAATGGAGGAAAAAGTATCCAATGTACTCAGTACTTCTATGGAACCTACTTATATTTACTCACACTTTGTGAAAGATAGAACACAACTATGGCCCAGGTGAAGAAGAGAAATAGAATGGGAAGGGAGGGTGGGGGAGGTTTGATAGAGGGAGGGTAAAAGGCGGGACCACACCTATGGAGCATATTGCAAGGGTACAAGTCAAATCTGTCAAGTGTAGAACATAAATGTCTTGGCTTGGCGCCTGTGGCTCAAGCGGCCAAGGCGCCAGCCACATACACCTAAGGTGGCGGGTTCAAATCCTCAGCCCGGGCCCGCCAAACAACAATGATGGCTGCCACCAAAAAATGGCCGGGTGTTGTGGTGGGCGCCTGTGGTCCCAGCTACTTGGGAGGC